CTGTGGGACAAGGTGTTGATCTTTGGAAGGAAGGCCGGGTCCAAGCGAAGAACGACTCTGTTGGGGTGAAATATGCAGAGGTCTCCGCGAACTGAAAGCACTGCCAGCTCAGACACCCTCCTGGCCGATGTGATAGCTACCAAGACTCTGAGTACCAGAGTCAAGTCCCAAGTCGGGTAACGGTGCACGGTCTGAGGTTAGCTGCTCCCTTTAGAAAGGATTGGACCCGTGAGTGTTGAGACAATAGACAGCCATGGCCGCCTCCAATCATTGTGGACAAGGCCGTGACCTGCCGGCGAAGTGTGTTGGGGGCTAAGTCCTTGTCAAGTCCCGTCTGCAAAAAGTCCAATACTTGGGGCACCAAAGCCCTGATAGACGCCACTCCACTTGATCCACGGTGGCCCTGCTCAGCCAGTCCGCCTGTGTGTTGGAAACGCCCGAGATGTGCTCTGCCTGAATTGACAACAGTCTGCTCTCTGCCCAGTGATGTAGTCTTCCCGCCTCCAACATCAGGGCCCTGGAGTGGGTGCCCCCTTGGCAGTTGACATGGGCCTTGGAGGCCACATTTTCGGTCAGGACCAGTATGTGGTTGTTTGATACTATGTCCCAGAATTCTTGGAGGGCTAGATGGATGGCTCGGAGCTCCAGCCAATTGATGCTGTTTCTCAGCTCTTGATCAAACCAGCAGCCCTGTGCGACTCAGTCCAGGGCATGGGCCCCCCACCCGAAGAGGCTGGCATCTGTTGTAATTCGGATTTGGTCCGGTTCCTTGAATGGACTCCCCCTGAGGAGTTTGGAGGACGTCCACCATCAAAGGGACCTGAGTGGTTTGGGCGGGAGCCGAACCTTGATCTGAGAATGCCTGGTGTGGGCCCTCTGGAAGGGAAGCAAGAACCATTGAAGAGGGTGAGCATGGAACCGGGCCCAGGGAACAATGTCTATATAGGAGATCATTTTCCTGAGTAGTTGGGAAAGTGTTGCCAGTGGTAAGAGTCTCTGAGATGATACCTGACTCACCAGGTGCTGGATGCTCTGTCGTCTTTCCTGAGACAGGGACACCTCACACGTCACGGAATTGATGATGGTCCCCAGGTGGAGCAATGATGTGGTTGGCTGCAGGTGGCTCTTGGAGAGGTTCAGCACAAACCCATGTTTCTGTAATGTGTCCATTGTGCAATGCAGATCCTGGAGGGCCTGTGATGGAGACAAGACCAAGATGTTGTCTAAATAACAATTCACTCGTATGGGGACTGAGCGAAGCGATGCCGCTACGACCGCCAGGAGCTTGGTAAACGTTCGAGGGGCCGGTGATAGGCCGAAGGGTAAGGCCCGGTACTGGAAGTGGCGTCCAGTGAAATGAAAGCGTAGAAACCTCCGGTGTGCCAGATGGATGGGCACATGGAGGTATGCTTCCTTGATGTTGACTGATGTCATCATGTCGCCCTGGCGGATTGATGCCAAGATGCTTTTGAGGGATTGCATCTTGAACCTCTGATACTTGATGTACAGATTGAGCCTTTTCAAATCTAGGATGGCCTGCCATCCCCCCGAGCTTTGGGGCACTAGGAATAAGATGGAATAAAAACCTAGCCCTTCCCGTCGCTTTGGAACCTGTTCTATAGCGTTGATGGGTAAGAGATGTTGTATCTCGGAGTCCATTAGATGCCTTTTCACTTGGCACCTGGGTACAGGGCACTTGATGAATCACCTCGGGGGGATGGAGAGAAATTCTAGAGTGAGGCCCAGCCTCACCACCTGGAGGGCCCAAGCGTTGGGCGTGGTCTCCGCCCACTGGTGAGCAAAGTCCAGAAGGCGTCCGCCGATAGGCTCCTCCCCTTGTGAGTCACCGGTACCCCCGAAAGGACCGGTTGCCGGCTCCACAAAATGGCCGCCTCACCTGGAGGTGTGCCTGGTTCTGTTGGTGACCCCTATCCCTGGCTCCCGTACGAGCCTGACCCCTGTCCTGAGGATGGGTAAGGTTCTGTTATACTGGGGAACATAGGGGGCGGTAGTGAATCCCGAGTCCCCTGCATGAAAGGGCTGGCGTCTATTATAAGGCTGTTGCCTCCTGTCAGCACGCCTACTAGTAGATGGGAGCATTTATCTCAATTTCAATGAGAATTGGGTCAAGTGCTGGCCCAAACAGTGCCCCGCCCTTGAATGGGGTGGAAGCGAGGCGCCATTTGGAGCGGACGTCCGCTTGCCAATGGCGGAGCCATACAATCGGCAGGATGCTTTGTTGGACACCACAGCCCGGGATGCGAATTTCACTGCATTAAGTGTAGCATCCGCAGAGAATTCCAATGATGCCATCAACTTGGTAATATGTTGGTGAAGGCGCATGTCATCGGGGCCAAGCCTACCCTACAATTGCCTGAGCCAGACCAAGGATGTCCTATTAAAGAAGGATGCCGCAGTAGCAGCACGTAAGGCCCAGGCCGCAGCCTGATGAGTCTTTCGAATGACCAACTCACCCTTCCTCCACCAAGGCCGAATCCTCACTGTAAACTGAGGGAAGAGGCGAAGGTGGATCTGCCTGAGGATTAGGTAACTCTGTAGGCCCAGCAGTAGGCCAGGCACCTGAGCCCTGCGATGTAGCTCTGCATCCACACCCTTGGAAATTGCTGTAGATATCATGTGGTATAACTCTGGGGGAAGGCCCAAGTCCTGGCCTTTTGTGGGCCTCAGGCCTGCAGCAGTAGGGGTAAAGGTGGCTGAAGGCCCAGGACCTGGAGGCGCATGGGCTGAAGCCAGGCTTATCTCCGAGAGACTCGGAGGCGATTGGGGCCCCAATCCACCCTCCTTTAAAGTAGACATTGGGGGCAAGGGAAGATCAGCGGGCCAACCCTGGTTCCCTGGGAGACACAGGGGAGGAGCGGGAGAGATCCGCTGAGGAGCTAACACAGGGGGTGAACCGCTAGCCGTCCCAGATGCCTTGTCCGATGCCTTGGACTTGCGCTTATGTGCTCTATCTGGGGTCGTGGATGAGGCCCAGGGCTTTTGGGTAGAGGCCCTGGTGGTGGCCCTGCTAGACCTTGGGGTAGCTTCAACTCCAATAGGGGGCTGAGGGGCATTACTGGACTCCCCAATACCTCCGGAGATAAGTAGATCTGCCATGGTATTAAATGGAAAGAAGTGAAAAGGCTCAATCTCCACCGACTTAATAAGCACTTTGGAGCTCCAAGGCCGATTTCGCTCCATTCGCTAATGCCTCGTGAGACTGAGAAACTGCTGCGCACAACCTCCTCACTGCCGAATGACCAGGCAAGAAAGGGAACGAGGGAGAGAGCCATTGATGCAACATCTCTGCCTGGGTGCGAAAGCGAGGACACGCCCCTTGTAGCTGACCAGCACGCGCACATGGACCAAGGCATCCAAAATGGCAGCCGCAATTTCAGCAGGAGTTTTAAAAGGCGCCGTTTGAATTGCCGCAGCCACATCCAGCTCGGCGGCTCCGCCAACGCCGCGGCGAACTCGCGGTGAGCCCAGCGGTCCGGAAAAGTCACATTGATGAAAATTGGAAAATTAGACCGCGCCGGCCAGGGCAGGTAGTTCCCATTGCAAGCGGCGCGGAATGGCGAACCGATCCCCAGTGCATGTGGCAGCCAAAGGAGTGGCAAACCAACTCCCGAACGAAGCTGCGGAAGTAAACAGATGGCTCGGTTTCAGCATTGCCGAATTCTCTGATGTTAAAATCGTGGAGAACGCTCTCAACGCTGTGAGTGCTGTAACTGACAACGAATTGTCGTCACCCCCACTCCGTGCCTTAAAGTTTATCACTAAAAGTCACACACATCCAAATAATGAAAATGAATCTGTGGAATCCTGAGTAATTTGTCGATTAGTCTAGAGAAAATTGATATACGTCTCTTTAGGCTGGACTGAGTTAAAAAACTGACCCATCCAG